AATGGAAACGCGCAAACATCCGGCAAGTGTGCAGTTTGGAAAATTCAGTGGTAAATGAATAAAAGGCAGGTGAAGAGAAGGGAGAGCGAGGAGCGAGGAGAGAGGAATTAGAAGTGCAGCGCTGGGCCAGATCCACCCACAGTCTGAACAGTAAACTGAAAGCTGAGGCAGTAAGTTTGGGTATCTCCTTTTTCCCCGTCCTTAGTCACAGAGCCACTCGCCACTCCTCCCCACCTTGCTCTGTAGCCCAAGGCCAGCCTGTAGGGAGTAAGCGAGAGGGCGCTTTTGCCCACTGGCCTGCAGCTGGACTCTCCCAGAGGAAGCACCAGAAGGAGACCATCAAGGGGCAGGAGAGTGGAGATGGCTGTATTTATTCCCTTCCCCTTTTCTGCAGTGTCACTGGCTGACTCTCACCTGAGAGGGCCCCTATGACGTGGCCCTCTCCACACAGTTCTTCCAGTGTTCTGGTCCTCCCTGTTCAGGTGTCGGGAGCAGGGAGGGCAGGCCTGTGCACTGCCCTGTAGTGATATATTTAAAGTGTTGAAAGAAAAAATCTGCCAACCTAGAATTCTGTACCCTGGGAAATTGTCCTCCAAAAGCAAAGTCAGATTTTTCTCAGACAAATAAAAATCGAGGGACTTTGTTGCTGGTATGCCTGTCTCGCGATAAGTGTTAAAATGAATTCTTTCAAGATAAAGGACATGATATAGGTCAGAAACTTGGATCTGCACAGAAGAAAGGAAGACCATCAGAGGAGGAACAGGTGAAGGTTACTATCTTTGTTTAAAAAATGACAAAAATGAGACTGCAAAGGCCAAGAAGTAACTTTCCCAAGGTCACACAGCTGGTAAGTGGCAGAGCCAAAAGTGGACTTGACGTCATAGGGTTGTTAGGAGGATTCAGTGAGCTAATAATTTCAAAGTCCTGAGTGTGGTGCCTANGTGCACTGTTGGTGGAAATGTAAATTGGTGCAGCCACTGTGGAAATCAGTATAAGGTTCCTGAAAAACTTAAAAATAGAACTACCTTATAATCCATCAATCCCACTCCTGGGCATCTATCTGAAGAAATGCAAAACACTAACTTGAAAAGATACATGCACCCCTGTGTTCACTGCAGCAGTATTTACAACAGCAAGATATGGAAGCAGCCTAAGTGTCCATCGACAGGTGAATGGATAAAGAAATGGTGGTTTATATACACAATGGAATATTATTCAGCCATAAAGGAATGAAATATTACCATTTGTGACAATGTTATGCTAAGCGAAATAAGCCAGACAGAGAAAGACAAATACTGCATGATCCCTCTTATATGTGGAATCCAAAAAAACCCAAAGCTCATACTCATAGATAAAGAGGACAGATGGTGATTGCCAGAGGTGGGGGGGGGGAGGGTTGACAAAATGGGCGAAGGTGGTCAAAAGGTACAAACTTCCACTTATAAGAGGAGTAAGTCCTGGGGGGGGGGGGGGGGAAGGGGGGGAGTTAGGAGAAGTTAAGAAAATTATAAGATGTTTTATTACAAAAGCAATAAAGAGATGTTTATTGATGTATATTAAGTCTGTTTAACAATGCTTTTTAAATAACATCATAAAGTAAAAGCACTTCACACATAAGCATTAACTCAGATATATCTCATTTCAAAAAAAAATATACTTAATAGAATTAAAGCTTTGTATTAATTTGTTTTATATTTCCCCCAATCAGTTTTTTTAAAGGTTGCTTCTCATTTGACTTCTTTATTTGGAAGACACCAAAATATACTCAAGTATAGTATTGTTTTTCTCAACTTTTTAAATAGGAGCTAAGGAGCTTAAATGATACACAGTTTTACATTTCTATAAGATTTAAAGTAGATGTTAATCTTATAACACTTAGGTTGAGGTAGAGAAGTGAGCACAGCTTCTGGTGTGTGAATGTTTGCATGTCTGCTGTGAAATGACTTTCATTCTGTGTTCATTTTACTCTCATGCCTTTGTCTATTTGCTCATTATTTTGTAAGGTCTTTGAGTGGAGTAGTGATTTAACTTTTCTTTACACTTCTTTTCCTGTGTTTCAGATATGATCTTCCAGTGTGTTATATTGTCCGTGCTTTTACTTTATGGTTCTTTTATCATGACACACATATCAGTGTTTAGTTAGTCAGATGTACTGGCCTCACCTTATAGACTTCTCAGTTGCTGTCACCATGATTTTATAAAGATACTTTAAAAAAAATTCAATCCATACCATTATTGATTTTTTTTTTAAAGATTTTATTGCGTAATTGGGAGAGGGGAACAGTGCTGGGGAATCGGGGAAAGGGAGCAGACAAGTTGCTGCCCTTTGGTTCTTCAGTCTAGTTGTGGAGGACATCGCCTCACTGGCCCATGTTGGTATTATTGCGCTCTTCCTGGGTGAGGCAGATCAGTCGCCAGCCTCTGGAGAGCCGCTATGGATTTTATTTTTACATTTAGAGCTTTTGAAGACCTGAAATATATTTTTCATAGGGTTTGCAAAGTAACTATAGTTTTTCAAGTGGGNTCTGCAAAATTACTTCATCACCTACCAAATCGAAGTATACAGTATATCTCTGTCTTGTAAGCACTTATATGCTTAACAGAATGGATAGGACACCCTTTTACATCCATATCAAGAAGGAACTATACTCCAGTTAGAGAGAGAAGGTGAAGAACAAGGGAAATAATCACTTCAACTTGAAATTATAGTGGCAACAATGATAGAAGCACAGAACTCGGTAGGAGGCACTCTCGGCTTGAATCCTGGCTCTGCCGGTTACGGCCACGTTACCTAGGACATGTTCCTCTGTTTTCTGGAAGTTCTGTTTCTTCCTCTGTAAGACTGATTTAGTGGTAGTAATAACACGAATAATATGTGCCTCAGTGCTGTTTTGGGGATTAAATAAGATGATTCATGAAAGGGCTTAATATAAAATAAGTGCTTGGAAATGTTCTTTGATTATTAACATTAGTACTAGATATGAGTTACCAAATAAACTTTGTAGGCAACAGTTAATATTTGAACTTAAAGGAAAGAGTAGTGCATTTGGCAGGGTGTAGATAAAGAAGAGAGATTGAAAAGCTTACATTTTAAATGGATAGACTGAGCAGATCAGGGAAGGCATTTTCTGTGGTTATAAAGGGCTGCTAGGAAAACTAAGCCAGGATTCACAGAATATTTTTGGTGCCAATGAATAAACTATAGGACTAGAATGATAAAGTCTTCTAAGGGGATAATTTGCAGTCAGGACTAGAAAAATAGGTAGGAGAGTAGAGGATCTTGAATTTGAGGTTTAAGGAGTTTGTAGTTACTTGGACTCTACTTGAAATCATGGACATTGAGTTATCCCCACAATGGCATTTCCTACAGAAATTTATAGGTAGCATAGTGTTGAAAGAATAACAACGGAAGCACCTAGCATGGTGCCTGGTACGTGAAGAAGGGAGAATAATTACGTGATCACTGCTGTGGCCCAGGAGTAACATTATAAAGGCATTAAATACGTGCTGATTAAATTCTTAGTTTGGGCCTGTATAAATCAAGTAGTTTAAGAAATATGATACCAGGACCAGTGCATAAAGGAAACAGAATGATATTTGTTTTTAATGAGCTGGGAGCTATAATTAGACCATTTATACCAATGTTAAAACAGGTAAAAACAGTGGTCCTACCTCCCATTGTGATTGTAATTGGGTAACCAGAGATAATAAGCACATATGCATAATTTAATTCCTTGCTGCATAAAGTTAATTGGTGATATTTAGATTAATTCCTGTGTTTTATGGGAATAAACCGTCTCTCAAAGATCGTCCTTATTGGCTTGTATCAATTGCTGTCAGTCAATAACGAGCTGTGTGAGTGAGAATGGGGTGGTGGTGGAGGGGGTGGGCTTTGGTAAAACCCACTTCCTGTCAGTATATATGAGTATGTATCCTTAATTTGGAGAGAAAATATTTTGAGCAAGTTATTCACTCAACCATTGAATCCCAGTTTTTCGGTCTCCCAGCTACAAAATATTTCTAACCTGTGTTGTCAGCACAGATTGTATCTTTCTTAGCTGAGGATAATTGAGTCACGAGGAGCTTATTCATATTGCCCAATACGTTTCAGGTTTTATCAGATATTTGGAGAAAGTCTGGGGGGACTCCAGAGGCATTGATAAACGGTGGTTCCCACTTGAGAAATAATACATCTTTTTTATAAGGTAATTGAATAGCAATTTCATCTCTAGATCAAGCATAAAACTCAACCAATCATTTCAAATGGAAATTTATTCCAGTTAATTTTAAGCTTTGGCCCAAGCAGAATATTGGGACATCCTGACAAGTAAGGCAAAGTCATGTTTAATAAGGATAAGGAATTTATCTTTGGGGTGTCAAATTCCTCTGCCTCCAGATTTCTGAGAATGGGTGCCGCTTGACTTTCTCGATATACTGTTCTCTAAGATCAGTTGCTCTCGCTCTTTTTCTTGCTTCTGCAGATCCAGACACTCCTCAAGGGGCCACTTCCAGTCCAGACTTCTGCCCATCCCCTTTGTCTTTTATCTCTTTTATACACAGGCTGTTTTGACTGGTTTTTCTGTGGCTATCTTGTTGGTCTAAATGTTGGTCTCCATGGAGACCTATCCCAGTCCCCAAGATGAAGGTGGTGACTTCCTTGACATCAGGGAGCTTCTTTTTTTGCTGTTGCCTAGTATAGTGTTCCAGGAACTTTTTAGGTGTTCAATAAGAATAAATTAAGTTTAGTTGAATTTAATTAGAGCCTTCAATATATCAAAGATAGCTGTGAAATGAGTTTTGATTCAATTAAATTGCAAATAATAGGCTTTCATCCCCATTGATTCAGAGTTCCTTTTTATATACATTTATTTTATCTTAATTGATATGTTTAAAATATAAACAATTATTTTGTTCTTAAAAATGAAATATAAATATTAGACTATTAAAAAGTTAAAAAGGTCACTTAGGAAATATTTCTNTTGCCTTTGGTTTGCTCGCAGCTTAGACCATGGAGTACCTTTGGAACCCTGGAAGTTACCGCTCAGATCCAGGTGGAATCAAAGGAGTACTCAGTGGTGACAGAAGAAGACTGTGAAATTCTAAAGATCCCTGCGAAGGATTATGCCAAGTTAAAATCGGTATGACCAAATCTAATGTTAACACAGCATGGGTGTGAATTCCAGCTAACTTTCGCCTCTCCAGACAGAAGATGTCCATATCTCTTTTATTTTTGAGTTGACTGTAGGACATAAAAACGTGGTTTATTTGATGACCATCACTTAAACCCCCGATGGTGATGGGTAGTTGAAGTGGAAAGAAAGGTTTCCATGGATATATTTTCTGTCTAGTTTGGATCGCTTTTGGTGGAGCCGTGGCTGGCTGCCCGTGGTGGAGGGAACCGGGCACCCCGTCCCCTGGACTTAGGTTTCTAATAGCCAAGGCTCCTGCTGATAAGGCAGTCTCAGTGTCAGTGGGGCGGACGGCTGTCTCAAAATTCAAATTCCTTCTAACTTCAGAGTGCCTGGCTTAAAAAAAAATGTTTTGTTTTTATTTTCAAAATATTGGTATTATTTATTTAATATCATCAATTATAACTTTTGAGTTTAGTCTTGACTATGACAGCATCTTTTTAAAATGCTAAAACATTTATAGACTCTAAAAGTATTATGAAAGGTGGGAAAATATAATTTAGTAGCAGATCTGCAGGTTAAAATTTCAATATGGTTATATGGTCATATGTGCCTCTAAAATTCAAATGGAGTTTTGCGAATTTACATCCTATAGCCTTTATTTTTATTTTACTGTCATTTATCTATCCTTTTTTGTTCTTTTTAAAATTAGTTAATATTGAAAATTTGATAATGACTTCTTTTTCAGGAAAAAACACAACTTAAAAATAAACAAATAGTGAAATTAATTCAAAAGTGTCCATATTATGAGGAGTGGCCAACTTTATCCATATATGATCTGGTTCTGCTTGTTAAATGGAAAAGATTTCCTCCAGGTCACGGTGAGTTCAATGCAATTTTGGATAATTTTTTTGCATAACATTATACTGTTGCAATTTGTAATTTTTCATAGTTTTAATGTTTTACATACTGTTTCTTCCCATGAGTGTTTCTGTAATTTATTTAATGTTCTCTTTGAATTGAACATTTAGATCATTGCCTGTTATTTCTTAAAAACCATTCTGTATTGGCTGGAGTCTGATCTGAAAACTGGCCTTAGTTCCACGCCCGGCGGTGTCTCCCCACAGCCCGCCCCCTCCCCCTCCACCCTGACAGTCAAGGTAGCGACCAAACTGAAAAGGAGAAATGCAGTGAGCACTCAGAGTCCTTTGCTGTGTTCTGGCTGATCAGCGACTTCACCAGCAGGTTTGCTGATCAGCGCCTGCGCTGCCCGTTACCGGGAGAAATGCAGTGATGGGAGGGGTGAGGCGAGATGAGGGCCAGCCACAGAGAAGACGCCTGTGTTTCCAGTGTCCCGCCTGGCAGGGATGTGTGGGTTCCCGGGTGTGTGTGCACAGAGCGTGTAGGTGGTATTGGGCCCTTTTGTGCAGTTTTTTTCTATGAGAACCCACTAAGTAAGAGATTCCAACTGCAATGGATTGTTTGTGCCCCACAAAATCCATGTGCTGAAGCCCCAATCCCCAGTGTGGTGCTGTGTAGAGGTGATTTAGCCCTGAAAGCGGAGTGTCCATGGTGGGGTCAGTGCCCTTGTAAAGAGACACGAGGGAGATGGTGTCTTGGCCACGTGCAGACGCAGGAACCTGGCCGTGTCTGCAAACCAGGAAGTGGGCGCTCCTCAGACACGGAACCAGCAGGCACCTTGATCTTGGGCTTGCCAGCCTCCCAAGCAGTGAGGCAGTTGGTTAAGTCGCCTGGTCTGTGACAGCCCCAGCTGCCCGAGACCCCAAGAGGAGCTGTGGAAGGGGGGCAGAGACCAGGAGTTGTTCCGTAAGGACTCGCTCTAGCTCCCCAGAGACAGCCCCTGCCTGCAGGAGTGTCCCTAACTGCCTGGCCCTGGCCCGGCCACACTCGGGGGTCCAGTACCTGCATTATAACAGAAGAACAAGTGTTTGAAAGTACGTCCACCTCAAGCTTCCAGGGCCATAATTGTGGTGAGGGAGACGGTGCCAGGAAGAAGAGACCGTTCCTGAAGGAAGTTGCAAATTGAAGTTCTAAAAAGAGTGAGTCTGGGTTGTAAATTCTATAGTAAGGCTGTTCTAACAAAAAGCGCGTGATGAGGCTAAGCTGTCCTTTCAGGGAGTCACTATGTAGTAGAAGCGTGGGGTTGGCTCAGCATAGTGCCACGCAGAGGGAAACAGAAAGTATCATTAGAGGTAAATGCTTGCTTTAAAAACTGAGATTCCCTGATAAACCTGTTAATATGGTGAGACTCTAAACCCTTTCCTAAATTTGTTCCAAATTTTTTACAGTGCTGGTGTTTATATTTTATCATTTTTTGAAATACAGCAGATAGCCCATGTTTATCCAAATACCTATTTTTTCTATTGCTTATAAAAACTGAATATTAGTCATGCTCCATTTTTGTTCATGAAACATTATTCCTAACGAGGTATAAACGCCATTTTATTTTTTTGGCCAATAGTACATATAGAAGGCAAGCAGTAAACTGATTTGTAAAAAACTGGGAACTGAGTATTTCTGAATTCAGCATTTATTGTATAGAAACAATTCTTTTAAATGTGGATGTTTTGGATTTATTATGGTATGGGTTCCCCAATTTTTATCAGAAATTTCAAACCTTGGTTCATGTCTCATTTTCAGGGTTCTTTTGTATAAAAAATAGTATTTCAGCCTTGCCAGTATAACAGGATATTAATATTTTTGAGATGATTAAAAAGGAGGAAAGAAACCATAATCAAAGGTATTTTTAATTATGTGAGCCAAAAGAATACAAAATTTGGAAAAGGGGAATCATTAAGTGCTTTTAATGTATTTGATTACAAAAGATGAATACTCTGTGTCTCAGCCTAAAATATCAATCTAAAATATTTAAATTTAGCATTAAAGAGTTAAGAAGATATTGACTTGACACAGTTTCTTAGACTAATGCTGGGTTCGAGTTGTTTTTGGTAAATATCTTAAAAAATAATAATGGAAACTATCTATTGCATTGGATAATCTGATTATATTGACTACGTCAAAAGTACCATTATTTTGCCAAACATATAAATATGTGGTTACATTTATTCAGTTTTAAAAATAATTTAATCCCCCTTAAGGAAGGATGACAATTTCACTAGATAATCTTGAAAGTCTCTTTCAGCTCTGAAATACTATGATTCTTATAAATAAACATATCTAGGTGAAGAATAACTCCTGTCAACCTAATCTCATTTTTTTTATGGTAGTGACAAACTTGATGTATCAAAGAGAAGCATTAGATAGATATAATACTTCTCGACTTTACTCAAGATTTTTTTATTTTTTGAATTTTTATCTGAAAATGTAGAGAATGTAGCTCAAAATACAGTGTCATTATCTAGGTTTAAAATTAGCAGTAGTATGATTTCCAAAGCATGATTAAGTGTGTGTTTTCATCTTATTTTAGGAACGTGTGTTGGATGAAGTTTCAGAGAGATTTCGTTAATTATTCAAAAGGTTGATAGGAGTTAGGATGAATTTTGGGCAGTCTGTGACATAAGGACGCTTATCTGTGGCTTTGTTTCCTCTGTTGACTTGAGTTTTCTTCCTTTTGTGTCATGTTCCGAGGGGGCCTGACTGTGATGGACGTCCCCAGTGTGGCGTGTAATTGGGGCCTGTCTGGTCTGTATCACACCAACTAAAGTATTTTTCCAAGGTGTGATTGGCTAGAAAATGGCAGCGAGCTGATCTCACTGATCAGCCAGCCTGTTTCCGTGTGTATTAGGCGTATAAGAAAAAATAGGAAATTAATTTGGCCTCTTTATGTATGTTTCATTGTTGTCCATATTGTCATCCTGTATGTCAGCCTGCTCCATCTTTTCTAGGTAGGATTTGACATAGCAGGCACTAAGAAAAGTTGTAGTGATCAATTTAGTTCTGAAACATAAAACATGCCAATATAATAATAGCAAAAAAAAAAACACCAAAAAAAATCTTGTCTTCCCAAATCAAAAGTGGAATCTTTCAACCACAGAGTATGTACTCTGAACCCCTCCCAAAGGAAATTGCAAGTTCTAGACCCTACATCCCATCAACTTTTTGACATCAGTCTCTTGCAGATTAACTAACTCTGCAGGGTATTGAAACTGACCCCACAACACGCTCTGTAGCATCCCAGAAACAGGCTTGTGCTCAGAGGTGCCACTGATCCCATGTGTCTCTGTTTCTCCATTCCTCCTTTACTGGTCCCTTTGGCATTAAGTGAATATTACCCAATGCAACATATTAATTCATTTAGTAATTTTTAAGTTTTTTAAGTAGACTTTACTGTGTAGTGCAGTTTTAGGTTCACAGAAAAATCGAGCAGAAGGGACAGCGGTCCCCATGTACCACACCCCCAATCTTGCATCGTGTCCCCCACTGTCGACGTGCTCTGCCAGAGTGGGAGGCTTGTTACAATGGGTTAACCTGCATTGAAACCTCATCAAGCAAACTCAACAGGGCTCACGCCTGGTGTTGGGCGTCCTGGTGGCTGGATGCGTGGATAACGATACTTACCCACCATGGTAGTATCATGCAGAGCAGCTTGCCTTAAAGATCCTCTGTGCTCCACATAATCATTCCTCCCTCCTCCCTAACCCCTGGCAACCACTCATCTTTTTACTATTTTTTTATGGTTTTGCCATTTCTGGAATGTTATGCAATCTGAAACATACGGTATATAGCCTTTTCAGACTGATTTCTTTCACTTAATAATATGTACCGTATTTGCCGGTGTATAAGACGATTTTTTGGCGCTGAAAAATATGCCTCCAAGTGGGGGGTCGTCTTATACGCCAGGTACACTTCAGATAGACTGCCCATAGTGCTTGCCCCGTGCCATAGTGGCCTCCCGATGCCCGCCCACTTCATTCCACATACCGTTCAGGCATCAGCAGCGCTGCTGGGTGTATGCTCGGCTGTTATGCGATTTTGCTGTTATGCGATTTTACCACACTCGCAAAATCGCACACAGCTGACCATATAACAAACTCTGTATTTTGAGTGGAAATGTTAGGGGGTCGTCTTATACGCCGGCAAATACGGTAGTTAAGGTATCTTCATATCTTTTAATGGTTCGATAGCTCATTTCTCCCTAATGCTGAATAATAGTCCATTGTCTGGATGGACTACAGTTTATTTATACACTAACCTAGTGAAGAATATCTTAGTTGGTTCCAGGTTTTAGCATCATGAATGAAGCTGCTATAAACATCTGCATGCAGGTTTTTTTGGGTAGACATAAGTTTCAGCTCCTTTGAGTAAATACCAAGGAGTGTGATTGCTGGATCATACGGTGAGAATGTGTTTATTTTGTAAGAAACCACCGAACTGTCCTCCAAGGTGGCTGCACCATCTGCGTTCCCACCAGCTGTGAGTGGGCGTTCCTGTGGCTCCACGTCCTCCCAGCGTTTGGTGGGGTCCGTGTTCTGGATTTTGTCCATTCTAATGGGGTGCAGTGATGTCTCATTGTTTTAATTTGCATTTACTTGATGAGATATGAGAGAAGCTTCTTTTATGTGTTTGTTTGTGATCGGTATACCTTCTTTGGTGTAGTGTCCCTTAGGTCTTTGGCCCATATTTTGTAAGAGTTTTATAATTTTGCATTTCGCATTTATGTCAGGGATCCATTTTGAGCTAATGTGTGTAAACGAGGTAATCCTGTGTCTAGCTTCATTCTTTTGCATGTCCACTTGTTCCAGCACCATTTGTTGAAGGGACTGCCTTTGCTCCATTGTCAGAGATGCGTTCACTCTGTCTGTGGGGTGCATTTCTGGGCCCTCCATTCTGTTTCTTTGATCCAGTCATCTCTCATTTGTGTAGCAGTCAACACCACACTGTCTTGATTACTGTTGCGTTT